TTTGACCATTTTTTGTTTTTGCTTTCTACTAAAACAGTTTTAATCAAAATGAGAGTTGGATTAACGTACTTGTTCGATTTTTTGATTCGAAAACCGTGCAAGTCAAGCTGTAAGCACTGAGAATTTTCCTTTTTGGGTCCAAGACAATGGTCCGATTTTGGAAAATGGAATAGTTTTCGAGAAAATAGTCAACCTCAGTAAAAATTTTCAAAAACTATTTTTCAAACAGCTGATGCTCGACAAGCATGGAACTTTCTCTTCGAGATGCGCAACCTCGGATCGGAGGCAATGGAAAATTGCCCCTGGTTTGAAGGGAGTGGGAGGCAACGGAAAGTTACCCCTAGTTTGGAAGGCGGCTCACAGCGGCTCGTGGCAACGGAAAGTTGCCCCTTGTTTGGGATGGTGCCGCACCAATCCGCAGACAGTCTTCATTTAGCGATGGTCGAACTCTCAGACACAGAGATGATGAAGATGGTCATAATACATATATGGACACAATCACCTTGAAGGGTGTTGGCCACTGAACTTTGGGGATGAAATCGAAACCATTGCATGGACTGAGACGCTATGAAAGCGTTGGGGGCTGGACATCATGATGAAGTTGCCTACGTATCCCAAACATGGGAATCAAGCCTTACGTAGTTCCGGTTAAGGTACACTCGGGTATTTTAACCTTTACTTTGTTTGGCTCTTACTTTTGCCAAGGCGCCCAATGCGGGTTTTTGACCTTGCGAGCTTCTTTCTTTTTCTTTTGTTCATTTCTTTTCTTTTTTTGTATTTTTCTTTGCATTTTTTCTTTTTTGTATTTTTTGTTTTTTTTTGTATTTTCTCTTGCTCTAACTTTTGCCTGGACCGCCCTTCCGGGTTTTCGACCCAGCGAGCCTCTCAAAGGGTAAAAAGTGTAGCAAGTCCATGCCAAATGGTTTTTCTGAAGTTGAAGCCTCTCTGTGTCTAGAAGAACGGCTGTTGCGCTGATTTGCGGAGAATCCATCCCGGTTGCTCCACGAGCTTCTTCCGGCGAGATCCACTCCTTCTGATTTGGCTTTGGCGCCTCTTGCTCGAGGGCTACTTCAAAACTGACCACACGGGCCTTTCACGGCGTTTGTCCGTTGAACTTTCTAAACGTTCTGAACGGGTTCAAAGTCGGAAAACAAATAGGTTGAATCTTGAGGATGAGAGCGATCCTAGGCTGCGCAATCTCAAGAGCGATTCCACACAGGTCTTCACAGGGCCGCGTAAAACATTTGTTTTTGAAAGTTTTTAAGAAAGCGACAAATCGCTCGCGCCGAAGATAGTGTAGAACCAATCACAAAATGACCTTAATGAAAGTGCTAGGTTTCCAAAACTTGTACATTTGAAAAGGTAATGAAATGAAACGGACTTTTTATCTGAAAAAGTGTTTACATTTACACATTTCATGCATTGCATCGCATCTCATCATGTTACACCTCAATGTAAATG